ACATCTGGCTAACTTTCAGGCCGTTTTATACACATGATACATTTGAAGAAGTCAGCTGATTTAATCACCTGGACCAGAGGACAGACTCGACATATAGTCAAGACATATGAACACCAGTACAGAGTCAATCAAGCTTCCGTGGGAAGATGAGTTAGGACTAGAAATAGAAAATTATGTATGGGAGGTCTGTCTGAAAAATATACATATTTGCTCAATAAATGTAACGCATAATTGAATCCAGTTTAAAACCCTGCATAGAGTATACCTCCACAAGGGTTTTTTTCACATATTTCCCCTTTGTTTAACAAATGTAATGTCACTGAAGGTACACAGGTACATTCATTGTGGACATGTAGCAAGCTACAGACATTTTGGGCCAGTTTATTTGGTTGCCTGTCAGAAGCATTTGTAAGGGACTGGAGACCTAATCCACTTTGGGGTCTTTTGGGAACAACTGAGGACTCAGTAAACGTGGAGAAACATGAACAGCAGGCCTTTCTCTTTAGTATGGTTATTGATTATTGGTTAAATTCCATTTCCCCAGCAAAATCTGCATCATGCAGAAATTCCACTCATGAATTCTATATTTCTAGAAATAACTGAAATCCCAAGTGTAATCTGTAGCCTCCATATGCCTGTGTGATGCGAGTGCAGGCAAAGGAGAGTGAGATTTTGTGTCGTTAAGCTCGTCAACAAATGCACGTGTACATGAGGGGGGCTAACAACGTGATTTACATTCATGACGGTGGTGTAAAAGTGAAATACACTCTGCAACTGTAAGGGGAGCCAAAGGGCAATACATACCAATTCTCACATAATGCTGCTTAAAGGAGAATTCCGTCAATTTTTAAAACTCTCCGCATAATCAATCCTTGAAATGCAAACAGAGTCATTCAGAGTGGTTTGAAGTGAAATGGTGAATTGTAGAGAAACGTAGGCTACGTTTACACTGCAGGTAAAAGTGGCCCAAATCTGATTTTCTCACCAAATCCGATTTTTTTGTTTGGCTGTTCACATTATCTTTTACATGTGACCAGTATGCCACATTAGTCTTAACAGATCAGCTACTAAACCGACCTGCATGCGCAAAAGAACAGTGCTTCAAGTGGCGGCTCGTCCAGAGGCAAACAGTCATGACGGCCAGCGAACTCCAGTCGCTCCCGCAGCTTTCAGTTTCGTCTTCGCCAGCATCACAGGAGTGACTATAAAGTTCCAGTGGTTGACAGCTGGACTCATCACCCACAGTGTGTTCGAGTTCGCCGTAAAAAGAGCACGTTATTCGGCCACGGCCACTTCTTTGGTTCGTGTTGTCGGATTCTTTAAACTGTTCTCTGACGCTGCAGCCTCGGTCTCCCCCGGCCGTGTTCGGCCGTTTCGTTCAAAACCTCTTCGAACACGGAGCGGTTGCGATCAGTCTCTTCTAATTTTTTGGTACAGAAACATCAGCCTAATTGTTTATGAGTCTCAGCAGCGCGAAATTATGACGAATGTCGAGTTGGACTGACGTAAAAGTCGCATGAATTCCGATCTGGCTGTTCAGACTGAGTAGTATTGCCGCAGATCGGATACGTATCGGATTTCAGTACCACATATGAAAGCGTCTCAAATCGGATTTGAAAATGTCAGATTCGATGCGTTTTTTGCTGTTCACACTGCCACACAGATGACACATCCGTGTCACATTTGAGGAAAAAGATTTGGGCCACGTTTACGTGCAGTGTAAACGTAGCCTAACAGACTTAGATTTTTAACAGTGTTGATGAGGTAAACAAGGAGTCCTGCTAGGTACAACACAAATATAGCTATTTTATTCACTATCCAAAACCAAAAGTGAACCTGTATGTGTATTCTGAGTTTTTATATAGCAAGTTGATGATGGTAAAATAGTCATAAATCTGAACTTTTCTTTTGGGTTTATTGTGCCTTAGAACACCCTTCATGAATCCCTCCACCATGAACAGATTAAAATAAATAAATTAAAATGTGGTTCAGGCCATAATCACAAAACTACCATTAAACAATGAGTGCATTTACATGCGCTGTATAATCTAATAACTGCAGAAAATCTGATTTTGTCAGTAATCTGAACAATGCATTTATAGGCAGAAGAAGACGTGACGTAAACGTAATGTAAAACTTCATGCCGCAGCTTTAAAAAAAAAAAGATTGCACCACTTTACCTGAAAATATAAATAAAAAAATAAAGATAAAGAATGTTTAAATCCTTAATTTCGTCAAGCATGTGGTTGGTTTCAGCGTCACTCCAAAAGTGTTTTGCTTCCATCTCGCAGCAACGCTGCTTGCTTATTTTGCTTATTTGTTTTCGCACATGCGCAGACTGAGAAATCTGAAAGAAATCCAAATAAGAGTGTACATGCCCTGAGAAATCCGATCACTGAGCTAAAATCCAACTCTCTTTATTAGATTTCTTAATCGGATTTCTAGATCGGAGTATAATGTTTACATGACCATTTGAATAATAAGATAACTGCAGAAATCCAATTATGTTTGGATTATTGAGTGAATGTAATCGCATTCAATATCTCAGATGTCAAGCAGTGAATTCATAACCGTTTCATATCATGACTTTCTGTAAGGGAGCTTTTAGAAGTGAACGTCTGGTTCCTATCACCACCACTATGAATACTTAAGACTTTGTAAGTTTCTCTAAAATGGATCATTTCACACTAAACTACTCTGAATGACTCTGTTGACATGTCAACCATTTAAGTGGATGTGCATAGAGCGACTAGACTGTATATCTCAGAGGCTCCTTCACAGGTTGCTGGTCCAGATTGAGGATGATGAATATATGGTGTGCCTGCCTCAGAGCAGGATATTCTGGCGGGAGATAGCTTGCATGTTCGTTTAAACTGTACTTTATGGAAGTTAGCTTTCTGTGGATAAGGAGACAGGCCTACAAGACATCTAGAAAATAAATAATGTATCAAAAAGAATAAAGCAAGTAAATGATGAATTAACTATGAGGCCTTATGACACATTTTCGCTAATAGACTGACTGTTCTTTCCTTGACGGTACATATTAGATGTATAGGTGTATTTACAGGTGCTACCCCATTGTTTGTTTATCAATATTTATACTTTGCAAAAGTCACTACATTTTATTTTTTCACAGCTTTAGACATACAGTGAAAATTATTTTACAGCATTTCAAGAAAAATATTTACATGAACAGTTCAGAATGCCTTTCTAGGCTATTATACAGTATAATATACATCAATTCCACTGTTTACAATGAACCACAGAGTGTACAAAGCACTCTGACTAGTTCATTTTTTAAAATATATCACAGTGTTTTAGGAGATACCGAATACAGTGGCTGGGAAATGTATTGGAAAATTAGATTTTTTTTTTTCATGTTTGCAATATATTGGGATTCATGATTCATCGTTGGGAGTCATGATCTGTGTGACTGTAAAGCTTTTCTCTCTCTGCTCTGTCATCAGGATCTACACTGACAGGCAACTACTGTCTGTTTCTCCAGAGAAAACATAGGGTTCTTCACAGTCTCTGATCACCAACCCCCAGTGCAATTACACACAAAACAAAGAAAATACAACAGGAAAAAAATATATATTGGGAAAACTGCACTAAGGGCCACACAAAATGGTTGTAAACATCAGAAAAAAAGTAAGAGTAATGTCACAGTAAGAGTAATGACAAATTCAAATGACATTCATCATTGGTTCACTTCTTCCACTTACCTCCTCATATCAGTTCTCACACTTCACAACAACAAAACTTAAATAGCAATAGGGCAGATAGTTTACATGTTCCATGCAGGGACTGGTATAGTATTTGCACCAACTAGCAAAAAATCAAAATCAAGGTATCAGTAATTTGGGCAATTTTACATCAACAATTGGGAAATAGTGACCCATACAGAGGACATAGAAGTAAAAGAGCAGTACTGTTACGACACTGCAAGATAGGTAAATGTGTGATGTGCATTTTGAATCTAAAAATATTGTTGCTTTTAAACAGATCAATGCATAGTTGCATGTGGCCTATTTCCAGGGTTTAGCTAAAGTTTTCCTGTGGTTATACTATATAACATCAACAAATCACTTTAACATTAAAAAAACATGTCCCCAAACATATATAAAGGCAAATTACAGTATGGTAGGAGCTACATCTACAGTATATCATGTCCTTTCTTTCTTCTGCTGTTTTTTGCCCCTTGCCTTTTTGGAAGTCACAGGATCTTGTGTGTGATGTTATATTGCTCCAGGGTTACTGTCTCTGTTCCAAAATCCATCAAAGGCAAAGCCCTGTCTACTTCATATCAATTCCCATGGCTGTTTGATGCTTACTACCTTACTGGCCTAATTTTGTATTTGTCTTCTCTTTTTGCCTGTCTCATGTTTTCCCACATACTCACACTCACCAGGCATTCCTGAAACATTTGAATAAAAAATTGCAACAAAACTACCCATCATTCAGTCACTTAAATTCTGAATGAACAATTGAAATTCTAATGATACAGTGACATTCTTGTGAAAAAGAGTCAAAATGTACCTTCTAGTTAGCAAGAAGTGAGTTGGGAGGATTCTTCCATTTCAGTGAACAGTGTCTTTGTTTCCACTCAGTTAAGGGAAAATCATTACCATCCAGTTTTTATTGATCATCAGAGTTGATCAGTTGAGGTCTGGCTTTTCCTGTGCTGCTCAATTACAGCTTTTCTTTGAGTCACATCTTAGGTAAACATGTTTTCTTTTGGCTTAGTGTCTTTGTTCATTTGTGACTACAATGGCTGGAATTCATGGCAACACTGCGTGCTAACTTCATTTTATTGCTGTAGTTGTGTGCTGTTTTATTCAACACTGAACATACAGAATATATACAGAATATTAGCTCTGCTGTCTATTTTTACTGACTTTTTCCTTTTACTTACTTCTGCCAGAAAATGTCTTCAGCTGCTGAATGAAAGAAATGACTAAATCATATGGTGAAACATGTTTAATCTTTTGTCTGTTCAGTTCTATGCAGGAGCAGAAGGAGGACCTGCGGAAGCACCTGTCCTACACTACCCATAAACTGGAGATGCTGGAGAGTGAGTTTGACTCCACTCGTCAGTACCTGGAGACTGAGCTCCGACGCGCACAGGAAGAGCTGGAGAAATTCACTGACAAGCTGCACAGGTTAGAAGTTATGTGGGATTCCTATCCCCAAGACTATATTGACCATTCTACTATTTACCAAATGTTTTGTTAATGACTTTTTTCAGTAGTGAAAATTCTGGCTCATTTTGAGCATAATTCAAAAAGCAGTAGGCATTACATAACTAGTAAACACAGCTTTGAGTAGCTGAACACACATACAGTTACTTTCATTTGCAAAAAATATTTTCCATTAACACACAAAAAATGTAACTAATTCCAGAAAATGTGTTTCAGTAGTGACTATTCTTAATGTTACAAACTGATTTTTAGACTTCAGGACACATTTACTTCAATAAAGGGATCTAATTGTACACCATGTAGCCATTAAGGATAGGGATGCAGTCTCACTTCCTTTTTTTAAAATCCAGCGGTGTGGCTAAAGTAAGACTTAGCCTATAAACTAAAACTCTGTTTCAGTAGTGTTATGCAAATGTGAGGCAGCATTTTTTGAACAAAATATATTTTTTTTAATTAAACTAAATAAATCTAAATCTTTCAACTTAAAAGAAACAAAGAGAAACAAAAACACAAAAGAAATTCAGTATTGTTTTTCACGAGTTGATATTTAGGCGTTAGGATTGCAACAGCCACTTCCCAGTAGAAAGTAATCCATAAATAATGATGTTGGATATATTCAGTTAATTATTATCTTAACTGCTGCCTTGGGTTTTAATAAATCATAACATATTCCTTGTAAGTATCTAAGGTCTGAATACTGATTTTTTTTTTATTCAATAATAATAATTAAATATTTTATGGAACAATCCGGGGGTGGGTTCAAGAAAGATCAACCTAAGCTCATAAATCTCGACTCAGTCATTCAGATAAGTCAGTCTACCCTGCAGAAGTGACAAACATGTTCTAGATATTTTGAAAACTAATTGAATCAAATGAAAAAAATACGCTATCACAAAAACTCTAATGAATATGTTTATAGAGACATGTTATTAGCATGGCATTAAAGGTAGTTTTAGTTACTCAACTAGTCAGTGGAAGCTATGTTTTGTTTTGTTACAACAACCACTTTCGGAGGTGTGGTGCCACCCCTGGGTTGGATGGATGATGGATGGATGGATGGATGGATGGATGGATAGATAGATAGATAGATAGATAGATAGATAGATAGATAGATAGATAGATAGATAGATAGATAGATAGATAGATAGATAGATAGATAGAACAATACAGCCACAAATAAGATTGAAACTATTTAAAGAAATATTTTTCAAAAAATGGCAAAACTAAGTGTCATGTCTAAAATAAGTCTGTCTGTGAACAAGTAAAATAATCAATGAGTCTTACGATTTTGCCAATTTAAAATATGCAGCTTCCTACTAACAGCCAAAGGTCACTTTAAAATAAACTCACTTTAATATAAATTTACATTGATGCATGTGAAAATAGTGCCTAGCAATGAATCTATGACAATGACAATTATCTTCAGAGTTGGCAGAAATGTCTTGAGCATAGCATGCACTAAGCCCATCTCCATTCATTTATTGACCTTTTTACAATGTAGTTTGGAAAAGAAAAAAAAAACATTACTTATTTCTGCTCTAATAGATTGAAATACTGATCAACACAAATCTCAGCCCCATTGTCCTACTTTTCGTTGCCCTTTAAATAAATGTTAACGCTGCAACTAACTATTGTCTGGCATTTGCTAGAGCCACATGATGACAAGGTGAAGAGCATGATGATCAGTTTGCTCAGGGTACTCATGCATTTCCTTTGTTAACTTCCATTCAGAAAACCAAGCCTCTGCCCTGCCTGCTTACATTATGTTATACGTTTTAGACCAATGATTACTGTCTCACTCTTGGGGAGTGTATACGACTCCTTCAAAAGGCATGTAATGCTGAAAGGGCTGATATGACTCAGTATGTTTTGGAGTGACCAAGCAACAATTTATGGTCAAATTTAAAAAAAAAAAAAATAAACGCGCTGATATGTTTTCATGATCAACATTAGATCCCTCCCTATCAATAAACTGTAAACCCACTCAGGAACTATCCCTACTAATCCACAAAGAACAAGAGTCCAGAATTCACTTCACCTGCAGTGAATACATTATTTTTTCATTTTATTTAGGATAAACCTTGATTTTATAAAGCTATTCCAATGTTTGCTTGAAGATGAACAGCCACAAAAATGTTCATAGAATCTTTAACATTAATAAGTAAGAGAGCTAGCTAGATTTTTTTAGTTAACAGGTTATCAAGCAAGTTAGCAAGCTAGTTATGCATCTGATTTTCCTACACATTTTCCAAGGCCTTAACACCTTCCCACTGTCCAGGGACTATATAAAGAGCTATTCAAGAAATGCATTTGTTTAATTTACATTTGCAGATCTTATCAATAAGCTAGCCAGCAAATGTTAGCAAAAGCTTGGATACTTGTAATATAATATGACATGTTTCCCAATGCATGCTAGGAAAAGGAGACAATTTTATGATGAATCCTAGACTATCATGATGTAAGCATTGACATGCATTTACCAGTAGCCTCAAACCACTAAATTGAGTCAATCATTCTGCTCTGAGATTCATTATTGGAGATCCTTACAACACTCATCACTGTAATCAGTAGAAGTTGGTTGGTCCTCTCTAGCCATAGATATATATATCACATCTGTGCTGTCTGTGAATAATGGTATTTATCAGATTTGCTCTAGTAACATGGACCATCTACCAGTTCCTAAAGTTTTTACCAGTGGCATGATTACCAGGGGGAAAGGGGGACAGTTGCACTGGGGCCCATGATGGCATGGTCCTGTGGCAAATAGCCCCCCTAAATTTTTAATTCAGCCCCTCCAGGCTCGGACTACCCATCAGGAGTACTGGGAGATTTTCAAGCTGGTAGTCTGCCCTGTAAGTTGGACCTTTAAGTCCAGTTGCACTAAAGATGCACTAAAATAGAGCACAGCACAGCCACATCCATTAAAGGGGATCAGCATTTTCATTTTCCATGTGTGAACACACATGGGTTACTTCACTGTACTTTCCATTAGAGAAGTTGCGAAACGTGAGAAGTTGTAAAATGTTTTTTTTTTCCAAAAAAGTGTGAGATTTAACAGGTTGTTGAGATTTTCTTCTTATTCTGTGTCGCAGCAAAGCACTGCCTCACCCTCCACTTAGAATAATAACTTTCACCAACTCCACCTTCATAATGTCACAGTTGCTTCTGCCATTTCCAACATGATTTCACAGTGGGCACCATTTTGGACATAAATAAAAATAACTGCCATTGCTGGATGCCAGGTTTCCAGTCAATAATGTTTTCAAGCCCTGGATTGCACAGGAAAGTTAACACCTGGTTAGTTTTGTATTCCAATTTAACTGGTAACATGATGTGCCCTCCAGATGAATGTTTGCATCCCTTTTGCGATTTGCAGTTTCTAGGCTACATGTGTGGCGTTTCAACACTAAGTTTCTGACTTTAATTCTGACCTTGACTAGTGATACAAAAGTGATATGTAGGAGAAGTGTAAGATGAGCACACATTGTGTTTTCATCTCTGATGGGCTGTTATCCTAGGTAAAGTTTACAGAGGGATATTTCTCTCTGCCAGATTTAATCCAGTTAACTTATTAACATCTTTCACTCAGCTATTGCAGATTTCACTCAGACATTAGCAGGGCTCGTTAGTAACAGAATACATGTAACAGTGTTAATGTAATACAACACAAAATACAAAAAATATGTAACTGTATTCCATTACAGTTACAGTAAAAGGACAGTAATCAGATTACAAGTACCATGTGTACTATACTAACTACATGCAGTTAGTGAGACTATAAGCTATAGAGCAGCCAAAATCAAGGAAAGCAGTTAGAAAAGTTAGTGTTTCTTATCTATTCTAAACCAGCCTAGACTGATGTACCCTGCCACAATGGAGGATCACCCACAATACACAGCCGCCACCACAATTTAGCTGTGTCTGGCCCTGGAAGGAAAGGCCTGACAGCAGAACAACACAGCTACCAAGCAGCGTTGACCACAGCTGTCTATCTGAGGGCAGCAGCGGTGAGTACAGAGGAGGTTTGCGTGATGCTGGAAGCAGTGCGTGACCTCTAGCAGCAGGGTGAGTCAGGCGTAATGGAGGAACAGAGGCAGAGACTGTGGGAGCTCTTGTTCCATTACAGCAACATCTTTGCTGCTACAGTGGAAGACTGTGCACGGACCAATACTTCTGATCCTACTCTCCACTCTCACTGGCTTCCACTGGCAAAGAAAGAAGATGTGGGGCAGAAAATAGAGGAGATGGTGGCAATGGGAGTCATTGAGCCATCAAGTAATACATGGGTGGTGACAGTGGTCCTAACAAAGAAAAAGGACAGCAGCTGGCATTTCTGTATGGACTACTGGCACCTTAACGATGTCACCAAGCTTTACAGAAATGGCTTTTAGCCTCCAAAATGTTCAAGCAGTCAATAGAGCAAGTGCTTACCAGCATCCCCACAAACTGGTGTACTGTCTACCTCAACAACACACTGGTCCACGCATCCAGTTTCAACAGCATGCTCACAAATTTGGAGCAGGTATTCCAGGTTATCAAGTCCTCAAACCTCTGGCTGCACCCTAAGAAATGCAACCACTTTCAGGGCACATGAGCTTCCAGGGTAATGTGGTAAGGAGGAGTGGAAACAGACCCAGGTCAGACGCATTGCAACAGTGGCCCATGCCCCAGAATGTCAGTGTGTTGTGAAGCTTCCTAGGTCTGGCCTAGTACTACCAGTGCATACACTGGTTCACAGAAAAGGGTGCTGCCTTTCAAAGGAATGAGGAGGCTGAACGCATGTTTGCTGCCCTCTGTGCCTGGCTATGTGAGGTACCGGTACTGGCATTCCCCAGGGCAGGCAGTGAGTTTGTCCTAGATACAGACATCAGCAATAAGGGCATCAGCATTGTCCTCCTGCAAGTCTAAGACAGGAGTGAGAGAGTCATTGCATGCTACAGCCGGTGTCTGAGTAAGCCTGA